CCCTCCTGCCTTCCGGGCATGCGCAGAACGCATCTCCCAAAGCGAAGCGCCTCCGCAGAAAAGGGAGGGGGACGCACGCTCGGAAGAGCCACGGGCGTGGGACGGCAACCAGAGGGCGGGGACCAAACCCAGGGCTGTCCCAGGGCTCCTCCCCCCGCGGCTTCCGGCAGGCCAAGGCTCGCGGCGCTTCTACGCATGCGCAGCTCTGCCGCTATAGGGGTAGGCAACCTTGGCTCTTTTATGACTCGGGGACTTCAATTCCCAGAATTCTTGAGCCAGCCATGCTGAGGGGAAAGGGAGAGGTTTCCAAGCTGAGCCAGGCTGGCTCAGGAATTCTGGGAGTTGAAGTCCACGAGTCATAAAAGGGCCAAGGTTGCCTACCCCTGCGCTAGGCGACCGGGCGGACAACCGGGGGCGGGAGTGAGTCGCTCAGTCCGGGCTTAAAGGGGGTATTTTGACGCCCCCCGTCCGCTTCTGGAGCAAAAGCCCAGTGACCTTTGCCGCCGCGACCCGGGATGCCCCGGTATTCCCTCCAGAAGTCGTGGGCGCCCCAAGACTGGAGGTTTCAAAGAAAACATTTGCCCCAAAGGTGCTTTTGTCACCAGGCAACCGGACTTTCCTTTGAAGACGTTTCGCTTCTCATCCAAGAAGCTTCTTCAGTTCTGGTGGAATTCTCCACCATTCGGTCAGAGCTGAAGAAGCTTCTTGGATGAGAAGCGAAACGTCTTCAAAGAAAAACAAGGAAGTCCGGTTGCCTCGTGACAAAAGCACCTTTGGGACAACCAAAGGATGACTGATGAATCTCTACATAGTCATTTACAGCCATTTGCCTGGAATGCTACAGGGTCTCCTGCTTGAGCAGGGGGTTGGACTAGAAGACCTCCAAGGTCCTTTCCAACCCTGTTATTCTAGGGATAACCACTCTGATATTCCCTGGTGGCTTTCCAGCCTCAAGTAAACTGCCGAGCTTTTGGAGACCAGCCAAAAGCAGCCAAAATTTGCCCTCTGTGGAAAAAAAGAGGAGACTTGGTGGCTTCTTAAATTCCAAATGGTTTTCCCCTTCTTAAAAACTTCCGAGGGCATCCACAAATTTTGGAGGCAGGCTGTTCCACTGATCAATTGTTCTCACTGTCTGGAATTTTCTCCTTAGTTCTAGACTGGATCTCTCATGGTCTTCCACTGGGTTTTAGTCCTTGTCCTGCCCTCAAGTGCTGGTCGATCCTCTCTGTGACTGCCCTACAAGTCCTGGAAGACAGCTATCATGTCATCCCTAATCTTTCTCTCTTTTTTTTTTTAATAAAATTTTATTAATTTTTATAATTAAACAATAAGTACTATGATGCATTTATAACACAAACCCAAAAAAAGAAACAATCCAACTCAATACATTATCGGAAACGCTTGGCAGTCCCCGCCCTGCCTCCGCCCTCATCCACTTGCCTTTCCTTCCTACCTCTAGCCCACAGCCTCTCCTCCTTCCTCCTTCCCACGTCTACATCCCCCCTCTTCCTGACCACCTCCTCGAGTGCAAGTTGGGGTACCAGCCGAGCATTTCCTCTTATCAGTACAATTATTATTTACCTATAACATATGAATACATCAATTTTGTTTTAATACCCCTAATCCCCTTCCCCCCCCTTTAATACCCCTAATCCCCTTCCCCCCCTTTCTCTTCATTAGACTAGATCAGGGGTAGGCAACCTTGGCTCAGGAATTCTGGGAGTTGAAGTTCACGAGTCATAAAAGAGCCAAGGTTCCCTACCCCTGGACTAGATCACTAGACATATTTTGTTTGGTTAACCGTTCTTTATCCTGCTGATGGGCTGTCTGTCAAAACAAAGCAAGATTATGGCATACACTTGAAAGGGAACCAGGAAAGCTGTAACAGGGGAGTTTGTCTGGCAAGAACGAAGAATGCTTATTCACAGGGAATATGCATGTGTAAAGCTTGTAACAATCCTGTGTGGTCAAAAAGCTGATAAAAGTAACAAAAGACTTAGGCATCTTGCAAGCTCAGCTAGAAGCTAGGAATAGAGATGGCCTGGAGCAAATAGTATGTGTATTAGATAACTCCTGAAGCATTCATTAGCCCAGGCTTAGGAATAGGGAATGCTAGAGACCAATAGAATAATTGTTAGATTGTGATTGAAATGTTTTATTAGGTGATATTTCTTATATATCCCACCTTATTCCGCCTTCTGCTTCAGAGAAAATGTATAAAGCTTTATTAATTCTGTGGTTCGAGGTTCCTTGGCATTTTGGCCAGGATCCCTTTTCTTGGAGCGCTTCAATAAAAGACAACAAAACCTGCACCTCGTGTCTGGTGTTCTTCATCGGCCTCAGCACCAGGCTCAGATCCGAATTGGGGACAACACTGCAGACCCCTTATCTTTGTTGCTCTTCTCTGCACTCTTTCCGGGGTCTCGGTTCATGTCCTTGCTTCATGGAGTGTTTGCAGTCACATGGAGATAGCTGACCGCTGCTTGCTTCTGGGATATTTTTTACATCTCAGTGTGGTTTTCTTGTTGATCTTCCGTCCACGTATTATAAAACAGAATCATAGAAACATATCCCTTCCCAACCCAGCTTAGCTTTCAAATCCAACTCTGTGAAAATTCCCAGTGATGCCCTAAGACTGTTTTCATTTCACAAAGTTAAAAGAGATGCTCTATTGTCATTATTTAGTTCAAGCCAAATGGCAAATCTAGACAGCCTACTTAAAAGCAGAGACATCACCCTGCCAACAAAAGTACGTATAGTCAACCCTGACTGCTCCTTAGAAGGCCAGATCCTGAAGCTGAAACTCAAGTACTTTGGCCACCTAATGAGAAGGAAGGACTCACTGGAGAAGAGCCTAATGCAGGGAAAGATGGAGGGCAAGAGAAGCAGGTGGATGGATGGAGTCCCTGAAGCAGTAGGCGTGAGCTTAAATGGACTCCAGAAGATGGTAGAGGACAGGAAGGCCTGGAGGAACGTTGTCCATGGGGTCACGATGGGTCGGACACGACTTCGCAACTAACAACAACAAATACAAGTCATTGGTGATTTCAGGAAGGGTTAGAAAACATTCAGGAAAAAGATCCATTACACCTTGTAAAACATGTTGAAGTTTGGAGGAGGATGAAGGAAAAAACCCAAAATCATACCACTGGTTCACAGCCAGTGCAAACTCAAGGCAGGGTGCTTGTAAAATTAGAGTACAGAGGAAGTGACAGTTTTAAGAAGGTATCCTGAGAATTTGACATGGACAGACTCATGTTTCCTTTGGCCAGGCTCCTTCTTAGGGTTTCCAAGACAGATGAGGTCATGATGGTTTACAAACATCTTAATCTCTTAAAGTAATATTTATTAGATATATTTATTTACATGTACATTAGCTGAATCAACAGGGAATGACAATTCAAGCTTATAAGGAGGTTGTCTACATTGAAGGCTTCGCAAGTGCAAAGTGCCTTGGCAGCTTAAATAAAGCAAAAGAAAGAAAGAACACACAATTTTTCCATTTGTCACTGCTTCCCCAGCAGACAAGGATCTCTGAAAATTCAGAGTTTTTCCAGAGTGCTGAAAAGATTTAATGAAGTTGCTAGTCACTTCTTGTTGAAGCCACGATAGTTAAAATAGATTTTAAGGTTATTTTTCCTTTTTAAAGTGCTGTGCTGTTAAAACAATCACCATTTTCCTATTTAAAGATATACAAATGCCTCAATTATCTTGTTCCTGACAGCATCACCTCTCCTCTGTGCATTTCCCAGCCTGCTGCTAGTTCCTTGAGAGACAGGCAGGTGTGCTCAGGGGAACTACATGCGAACAGCGCATGCAGATTACTTCAAATGTCTAGATGAAAGGAGCATTTAGAATAGCACAAAATGCTCCTTTGCCAAGTTAGAAAAGTTCATTCTGAAGTTCAGGAAAATCACAAGAGTTTTTCAAATGTGCATTTCAACTCAAGAGGCAGAAGGTTCAAAGTCACCTTCCCAGAAAGCCTAGGTCACCGGAACAAGGTCCGTTGGCACCGGACCCCGATGACAAGACCCACAGACCCTCCTCTCCCCTGCAGATACATCCATACAACTTCTGTGCATCACGCTAAAAATAATAATATAAATAATAATCAGCTGAGTCCCAAGGGCACGATAATATTTTTTTTTTTTTAAAGAGCAAAGTGCTTTGGTGACTTTTTTTCCCCCCGCTACTGAATTCCATAATGTGAATGAACTCAATAAAACAGGACAATAAAACACCAATTTCCTGAACTAAATAACAGAAAAAGAAAAGCAGCAGGGGATCTGATTCATTTACTCTTTCGGCACTTTAAAGTTGTCTTTCTCTTTGCGTATGGCTCCCATGGTCCGAACGGGGTCCGTTTCCTGGGCATGGCGCTGCACAGTTGTTTCTCTGTCCAGAAAGAAAAAAAGAGTCATTAGGGCAGTGATTCTCAACCTCAGCAACGTGGTCTGAATTTTTTACATCTCCAAAACCTGGCCTTTTAACGGGGACGTGGAGGCTTTCCATAAAAGGAGAGTTCCTACATTTGGGGCTGAAATAAAAGAAGAATGTTCTTTATCAGCTACTGATTGCTGGTTTATGATCCTCTGTTGAGTGTCAGGAGGCAGCTTTTTTTTTCCAAACCTGCTGGGAAACAGCCATCTCTCCATCACGATCCTGTTATGGAGAAATTACCTCACTCTCATGAAGGGGTTGTATGTGAATTCTTCACCAATGGTGGATGGGATGGTTGCCTCACCTCCATCGTATTTGGCCTACAAAAAAAAAAAAAAAAGGTAAGAGCTTGGGAAAATTCCAACACACAGAAGCCTTGAGGGACGCATCTATTGTGCAGCTGCATCAACCTGCTGCATCAGTTGTGGGCATAAGCAACATAGAAAGAGTCTTTGGTTTTTATTTCTTTGCCATTTTTCCCCTCCCGGTAGAAAGACTGGCCATTTCTGCCAGCCTGAACAAATCATGGAAAACCAAAACAGAAAGAAGGCCGGACAGCGGGCTGCGAGGGTCAACCGCCGCATTAATGCATTGGGAAAATTGAAATGGGAGTTTCCTACAGTCATAGAGAGCAAGCTGAAACTTCTTAAGAGCCGTTCCTGTTTTTTCCAAGGAAGGAAAGTGTAAAGTCTCTTGCCTTCGCCCATGACAGCTTTCGTTGGATGGCAGCATTATTTGGTTCCACGTGCCGGGCAAACTTTAAGTTATTGATGGTATATTCGTGGCCACAATAGACTTTCTAGCCGGGAAAGAAGCAGAAAAAGAGAAAATTAGAAGGCACCAATTCAGAAACTGCAGGTCAGCCTCACCAGATGCCTTCCACAACATTATTTAACAATTGCAAATGAATGACAGATTCATGAATATTTGACAATGTTACTTGCCTCAATTGCTTAAAATGGGGTGTGTGTAGGGGGATGTCTTATGGGGCCAGGGAGGGATATATTTGGCCTTTGTGATTGGGACTTGTAAAAAAACTCTGTTTTTGTTCGTCCAGGTTTAGAATGCTGTTTAAATCCAGGTCACTGTCTTTGAGCCCCACCCCACCCCAAGAGGTTTAGTATTTATACAAAAATACCGTTTCAGGAGGGAGGCGCCCCAAGACCTCAATCAAAGCTCTGTACATTTCTTCTGGGGTTCCTTCAAAGAACTTTCCACACCCAGCCACAAACAAGGTGTCACCTAGAAGAAAGATGGGGGTTCAAAAAATAGAAACCGACTACGATGCTAGGCAAGAATTGGTACACTGCTGAAAGCACAAACAGTGGACACGGTTGTATAGAATGAATAGTAACCTACACATTTGTTTAGTTCTTGCAAATGCCACAAAAGAAAAATGTAATCTGCCTACCTTGTGGTTAGGCTGCAATGTTAGTTTATTTTGGACTAATACATTTTATTGACAGGCATATGCTTTTATAAACCACAGTCTTCAAATCCCGCTGGGCTCCTTTACCATAGCGAGTGTTGTTTAGTTCTTGAGTGCAGAACACCTGTATAATCTGAGCAGGATCACCTGCTCAAGGTGTGAAGGTCACTCTGACTGCCCAACTGAAGCGAGCAGGTGCCTGTATTGGGCAGTATCAATACAGGAAGATGCTGTAGGTGGATATTCTCCCTAGTACAATGGTGGAAGCACAGTAGCTCACATTGGTTAGGATGCTGGGTCGAAAGTTAGCAAGCCCACATTTGAGATCTGAGTTCTGTTGCATGGTGGGGTGAGCTCCTGTCATTTGCTCCAGCTCCTTGATGGTGACATGAAAGCAGTCCCCACAGGTGTCTCTCTGGGGCAACAGTGATGTCACCGGCTAATCCAGTGGTTCTCAACCTGTGGGTCGGGACCCCATTTGGGGTCGATCGACCATTTCATGGGGGTCGCCAAGCAAGGCTGTCCGCCATTTTTTTTGTCCATTGTTTTTGTCCGCCATTTTTTTCCCCTTTTCCGGCGGGTGCCTTACCTCCCTTGGGCTGGGCCAGCTGGTGGTCAGCCTGCTCCGTCTCTGCCGCTTGCCAGCTACGCCTCGGCCGGCGCAGGGGGCGGAACCACGCATGCGCAGCACTCCCGGCCAGGGAAAGTCCTCGACTTACGACCGGTTGGGTAGTCCTTGACTTACGACCGGTTTAGTCCTTGACTTACAACCGGTTTAGTCCTTGACTTACGACCGGTTGGGGTCGCGGCATTAAAAAGGTTGAGAACTACTGGGCTAATCCTTTCAACCTAGAAGCACTTTAAATGATACCTCCAACACGAACAGGACGGGAGCATAATGGCAAGCACAGAATTTCATATTGAGCAGGAAAATGCAATAGTAAACCACTCCTACGATTTACCATGTGGGTAGACCATATGAAGTAGCTGACAGTACACTGCCAAAAAATGGGTCCTGCAGGTCAACATGCTATGAGGTGGAGCTAGGACTAATACTCTGAATTAATGGTGTTTATGATGGGGCTCGATGAAAGCCTTTTGAGAATGGCTGATGATGCCTTACAGGAAAAGAAAATCTGAAGCTCCGAAGTCAGAATTACAGTGAAAACATGGAACACGAAAGCATGAACATGGGAAAGTTCAACACAGTGAAGCGAAATGGATCAGCTACACAATGACAGGCAACGATGGACTGGAATTTGGCACTTTCAGTCAGAAGAGCCCAACAAACAAACAGACAAACATCTGACTGTTCATTCAGATCACCTGAGATGCTGCTTGTCTTTCCAGCCTTAGGCCCAGCCCAGAATACGGCTGGAAGCACCCACGTGAGAGAACCCTTTTTCCAAGACACACACCCCCACACACACACCCCCACTTCTGCTCAATGGGAAGTGAGATCGGTCCTACTCACCCTCTCAAGTCCCAATTTCTTTGAGACAAGACAGCCTTTAGGTTGCCTTCAACTTGCTTTTCTGTTTTAAATAAGCTTATTCTAATGTTTGATTCCTTTACTGGTTTCATTGTTGAGGCTTTGTTGAACACTGTGCGCTGGTTCCCTTCAGGAAGGAAGTGAATATAGAAATATTACTCGTAATAATAATCTGGTTCTGGAGCATACCTGTGAACACCGCAGGCGGCTCTGAGCTGTTCGGCTTTGTCACAAAATAGCAGATGTGCCCAGAGGTGTGGCAGGGAGTTGAGAGGCATTTCACATTGAGGGAGCCCACCTGAGGAGGGGAGAAATCGCCTGGTTACTGACAGGGATGCTTTGACACCGTTTCTGACTCTGATAAAAGCCCAGGTGACATTGCAAAACTAGAAAGAAGAGCAGCAGAACACCCAACAGAAGCTGCTGCGGATCTTGAGCTGGATGCACATTTGCTGCCTGTGTTGAAGCTTTTCTGTTCCAGAGAACTTTTCACAAGGCAGGAGGTAAAGAAGGCCCCGTTCTTGTTTATCTGAAGGATAAATTTGGCTTCGTTCTAACCATTGTGCCAGCATGGCTCTGCAACCAGGGCAGGGGTCGGCAACCTTAAACACTCAAGAGCCACTTGGACCCGTTTCCCAGAGAAAAGAAAACACCGGGGGCCGCAAAACTTGCGTGTGAGCGCGAGAGGGGGGAGCTTGATTGAAGAGTTTAATTAAAAAGAAATAGAGGCTGCTGTGCATGAGTTCTCTCCCTCTCTCTCTCTCTCTCTCTCTCCCTCCCTCCCTCTTTCCTCTCCCTCTCTCTCCCTCTCCCTCTTTCTCTCTCTCTCCCTCTTTCCTCTCTCTCTCTCTCTCTCTCTCTCTCTCTCTCTCTCTCCCTCTCTTCCTCTCCCTCTCTTTCTCTCCCTCTTTCTCTCTCTCTCTCTTTCCTCTCTTTCTCTCCCTCTCTCTCTCTTTCCCCCCCTCTCCCTCTCTCCGATCTTCTGCTCACCTGGCAAGCTGGCTTCAAGCTGTTCTCCAACAAGCTGACACACATTCTTATTGGGGTGGCTCTCTCCTGCCCTTGGTCTGCCAGTCCTCTTCCCCCACTCAGTGTGTGTGTGTGTGTGTGTGTGTGTGTGTGTGTGTGTGTGTGTGTGTGTGTGTGAGAGAGAGAGAGAGAGAGAGAGAGAGAGAGAGAGAGAGGGAGGGAGGGAGGGAGGGAGGGAGGGAGGGAGGGAGAGAAGCGCAAGTGTCTCTCTCTGTCTCTCTTTCTGCAAATGGCGGAGGAGGCTGGGGGCTCAAAGAGCCACATGCAGCTCCGGAGCCGTGGCTTGCCAACCCGTGAACCAGGGAGAAGATCAATGCTGATCCAAAAAGCAAATGTGTCCGTATGTCAAAATGCATCAGACCTGCTCTGTAAAAAAAATCTACCCATCCCCCCAAATGGACACTTCCCACGCTAAGAAAGTGGGCCCAGGTAAAGGTATTTTGCTACCTTATATCCAATGGGACAAGAAGGCCCAGTTTATAGGACCTGCTTGCTGCTTCTCCCACAGGCTCACCCTTCCTTTGAGAAATCCTCCTGGCTAAAATTCACCAGATGGCGCGACTGCACACACCGGTTTCCTACTGATGCACAAAAAGCACGCCTGGGGCCCTGTACATGAAACGTCCCCTCACGAGACAGCGTGCCAATAGACCTAGGTTTGTTTTCCGTGGACTGCACAGATTCATTTGTAGCAGAAAGACAAAAGGATGATGTTCACCAATTTCAGCAAAGCACTGAAGGACTGAGGAGCATTGCAAGGACCCATGGAAGGTGAGGGCAAATATCAATGTGAACCAGACTGTGAAGCAACTGGGCACCCCCAAGTTGGCCCTTTAACTCAAGCTTGCCATGTCTAGTCAAGAGAGATCCCTCTCCACCAGAATGGAGAATAAAGGAAGAGGGAGTCAAGCTATTCTCCAAGGTGCCTGAAGGCAGGACGAGAAGCAACGGATGGAAACTAACCAAGGAGAGAAGCAACCTAGAACGAAGGAGAAACTTCCTGACAGTTAGAACAATTAAGCAGTGGAACAACCTGCCCCCAGAAGCGGTGAATGCTCCAACACTGGAAGTTTTTAAGAAGAAACTGGACAGCCATTTGTCCGAAATCGTATAGGGTTTCCTGCCTGAGCAGGGGGTTGGACTAGATGACCTCCAAGGTCCCTTCCAACTTTATTATTATCATGATCATCATCATCATCATGCACATGAGAGGCAGACACCTTCAAGCCTGAATGGGATGCATGTTTCAAAAAGTGCCTGGGCAATCTATCCTTCCCACCCTCCCACCCTCTTTTTTTTTTCTTACCTGAAATGTCGTAAGATGAGAGACTTTCTGGGTGAGGGCTCCAACCCTGCTATCTCCCCCGCACACTCGTAACCCCGGCTCCATCTTTACAAGTTTCTCATTGCCACCAGCGTGGTCCCTAGAAGGTTAAAAGGTCAGACGTTGAAGGCTGTGCAAACACAGGAAGAAGCATTAGCTGAAAACACACGTCCAGCTAAACAGCCGTTTGGTCCGGGCTTTTTCGAAAAAGAGTCATCTTAGGCCAAGGGTCTTCAGACTTGGCCCTTTTATGACTTGTGGACTTCAATTCCCAGAATTCCTCAGCCAGGCATTCCTCCGCCTAAGCTATGGGCAGGGGGGATTCTGGGAGTTGAAGTCCACCCACCTTTAAAGTGGCCGAGGTTGAGAAACGTCGCTCTAGAGAAGGGGTCTTCAAACTTGGCCCTTTTATGACTTGTGGACTTCAACTCCCAGAATTCCTCAGCCAGGCACGCTGGCTGAGGCATTCTGGGAGTTGAAGTCCGCAAGTCATGAAGGGGCCATTGTTCCCCCACGCTGGCTGAGGAATTCTGGGAGTTCAAGTCCACAAGTCATAAAAGGGCCAAGTTTGAAGACCCCTGTCTTATGCTGAGTGAGCCACCCCTGGTGGGATTTATGCAAGACCCAATGCAAACAGGATGTTGGCTTAGTATGTCACGCAAACTGGCACTTTTAGATGTAATTTTCTTTTATCGGACTCTGTGTGTCCTGAATCAGAGGTCTGGGGGAAGGAATGGCGATGAGCCGATGGAAAGATTGCATTTCTTTGCAGTCACCTGATCATTAGCAATGAGAGACGTTGAGGCCACTTGGGGGTTTATCTGTGCCCTCAGGCTCACCTGAATCAGGGTGCAAATGGGGATGGGAACCTTCTTGGAACTTCTGCAAGGGCTGCATTGTAAACTGGTGTCCTATTCCTCCCCCTCTGTTGAGGGAGGGGTTCTAACAATTCTAACACAGATGGGATTCTTTTACCCCTCTTTCAATCCCATTTTCCCCTCAATCTCTTCCGGTACCGCTGTGAGTTTGCTGTGATGCCCTGGGGTGCAGAAATACAGAGTTTGGAAACAAAGATGATCAGGGGACTGGAGGCTAAAACATATAAGGAACGGCTGCTGGAATTGGGT